GATGTGCAACATCTTACTTGTGGGCATTGGAATGCATGCATGAAGAGGTTGAAACCATTGATAAGTACACCAATGATCACAGACATAGAACTGTGATGCTCAGACCACTATAACTTGGACCTAGAAAGGAAAGAAAGTCAAGTAAACTAAGCAACAGGTGTGCAGATAAACCTGACTCATTATGGAAAGCCCTCTATTTTTTTCCCACCATGTTTCATCCTTTTTATCTTGATCCTTTCTAATCTCTGAGTGTGCCTCTTAACATAGACAGTTCAAGTGTAATCTCTTCTCAAGACAAGAGTATGATCTTCCTAATTCCAAGCTAAATTTCTTCAGATGATGCACAGGAGACACCTAACTGATTCAGCAAGATTTCAGTGTGCTCTGTGCTTTTGCTAGATGTTCACTTCTGTCCTCTCCTACCTTGCTGTGCCACAGGTTCTGAGCACTCATCATCCTCCAAAGCATTTGTCCCTAATGAATCCATATCTGTCATCCATTAAGTCTTTATGTTGTGAATTTCCACATGTCTGATGTGTTCTCCTTGTGATATCAGTGTTTACAAGGACAAATATTGCCCAGGAAAGTGTGTTCATTGTGAATATTTGCAAAGGATGTGTCAATATGCTTGCAGCTGAGGGAGACACCAGGAAGACGGTGCTGACCATATCTAGAAAGGCTATAGTAACCATGCTGCATGCTTTACATTATGTTCTAGGAAAGGACAATTTATATCTATGCTTAAATGCTAAAATATTTCTAGACGTCTGGGCTCCTGTTTTCATTGCTTTCCTGAAAGACCTCTTCTTCATAGGGGTTTCTGTATATGTTCGTTAAGTAGAACTCATCTTGAAAGTGAAAGCTTAAACTCTTTCTGAATGAAGTTGAAATAATATTTTACTGAATCAATAAATTTTAATAAATCAGTTGAATCAATCAATGGATTTTAATGAGTCAATCAATGAACATGCATCACTCATTACTCAATGTCATTCTCATGGTCTTGACCTGAAGTCAAAGGATTGTTTGACCGACTCTGCTTGATGTTTCCTATCTAGGATCTCTGTATGTGCATAAGGATGCCCTCAGTCACTGCCTGTCCAGAGCACTGTGCCCCATTTCAGTCACTGTCTCATTGTCTAATCATTTTAGTACCATTATTGAAAGACATAGTCTCGAACATAATACAACCACTCTTCTATTTTTACAATCGTAGTAACAAACTCTGCTTTATGTTGAGCCTGAAAGTGTATTTAATTGAATCCTTTAGCTTCTGATAAAAAATAAAAGTAAATCTTGATCACCATAAGTTTTATAGTCTTTATTTCTGCCGCAACTGTGAAGGATCTTGAACTAATAAACTACAAATGAGAGAAAAAAATGACAAAAATTTTAAACAATTTTTACACATCATGTTTAGTAATATTTTCTTCGGTTAAACAGAGTCATTAAGCAGATGAATAACTTAAAAGAACACAAATGTTTGTGGATAACTGATTTTCAGAAGAAAGACAATAGAGTTCTACTAGATGGATCCATGGGGGAATAAACCTGCCTAACAGCAAGGTACTAAGTTTGTTAAAGATTATAGAGAAAGTTGCACACATCCCTAAAATGAAATAATGCTAATATAGTACCAAAAAGGATAAGATATTCAAACAAATGATTGAAACACTTTTTTATTTCAGATAAAGTTCTAAGTAAAATAACAACAAAGAAAAATTTATACACTTTGTTAGATAATCATAATCCTTTAGTATTTCATTTGTTCTCAATGTTGAACAAGAATTTTCCAACAAACTGAAGCACGTTATGTCAATTTGATTGGAAAAACTGGCTTGTGGAGCTCATCAGCTTGACTTTGCATTCTGATCAAGTTTAAAAGTTGTATCCTAATACAAAATAACTGGGCTAATGAAACAACTTTACACATTCCCTCTCTGACAAAATTTGAAACCTCAAAGTACATAGATGATCCATGTGCATGCAATCACCCCCATTCCCATAAACTAAGTACAAAAAGCACCCAGCAGATGACCTTGATCATAAATGTGCTGCATTTTCCTTCCAAGTGGGCTGTCGTTTGGGCCTTGAGTGATGAATTGGAGCTCCTGTGTTACAGATTTTTCCTCAGCTTAAAACTGTTAGGAAGTGGTGGGATTTTTAAGAGGTGGGGTCTCATGAGGAAAATTGGGGATTCCTTCAGGAGGATGGGGGCCTGAGCACCTTTATCTCTCTGCTGTCTGGTCCTTGAGGAGAGCAGTGTTGCATGGCAGGACCAGGAGCTCCTGCACACTGCTCCTCACCATGGTGCCCAGCAAGGAGCCCAGATGCAGGGAAAGAAACCTCAGCACTGGGGGAGAGATCTCTGCTGTTTTATCCACCGCTTATTCCTATATTTGTTACAGTGATGGCCAGCTGGCTACTACAAATATTGAAATCTGTTTCATATTAAAATACTACTATAATGCGTGGCATTCAAAGAATGAAGGAAAACATCAAAGCTAATATCAATTCTTATTCATAGCACTGAGAAGACAATGCATACCTATTGATTTATCCTGATTGTGAAAATATAAACAGTGTTACTTTCCCTACCATAATAGAACATCTGTCTCAATATAATGTTCTTTGTCACATTCACTGGAAAAATCCTAGTGACATCTCACTATTGTTAAAGATAAGGAAGTAAACTATTACATAAAAGTATTCTAATCAAATAGTTGAAAATATTTAAAAACTTAATTCTAATGCTTAAAATTATTTTATTTTATTTAAAAATGAATATAATTTGCATTATCACCAGAAACTACTTTTAAGCTGGTACAAATTCTTTAAAATACTAGGAGAAAATTTTAAAAAATTTTCTTACAGACACATAGATTTCAAATTGTGTTTTGTGTGTTAAAATATGAAATTAAATCAAAGACACATTTTTATCTGCAAAACAGTAGGGAAAGCATTTGAGGGGGGAAAAAGTGAAGATCAAGAAGGATTTAGTGGATAAAACTTTGTCCAATATTCCAAAATGAGCAAAGGAAAATGTGAAAACCCAGAGTAATGTGCGGATAGTTTTGTGGGATCCTCGTAAAGGACATATAGTTATGCTGCCATTTGTCCTTGAGGCACTTTACGCTGTGGATGAGATACAGCTGACAGAGTGCTGGTGCTGCACCAGAGCATACCAGGAACCAAAGGCTAATGATGGAAAAGCCTGTGAGTGAGGATCTGGTGAGCCTTGGGTGTCACACTGTAGCTCCTGCCTTCCCATTGTCCACCAGACATGTGCAGAAGTCAGGAGCCACATTCACCTGTTTGCAGTGTGGCTTCAACACTAAATGTGAATGGAAGCACACAACCATACCGGTTAGGTGCATGTAGATCTAGAAACTGATGGATACTTCTGAGTCCCAATTCTTGCAACAAATGGCTCTGGGGCACATTAGTAACTCCGCCTACTCCAGCCTCTCTCATGCCCTGATGATGAGGGATCCTCCCTCAAAAATTCTCATTTTTGTTTGAAATGGAATTAGACATATGACACTCATAGGAGGGTCCCTGAACCATATTAAGAGTTTAAAAAGGAGGCTACAGCAGGGTTAGATTATTATGTACTAGGTGTACCAAGCATACTGCAACGTCCAAAGCTTGATCAGCATTTTCTATTCTACAAATCATAAATTTCTACTTTGAAGAGGAGCAGGAATGCAAAAGACAGATCTCTAGTAAAACTCTTAATTTATCTCATCCTCAAATTCAACCCCCATAACACTGGCAGAGTTTTCATTTTAGTTTAAAGTTTTCCTCATGTCAGTAGATGCATGTTTTTTGTACTCAATATCTACCACAAATTCAAAGGAAAATCATCCTGTTTTCAATTGAGAGAATATTTTCTTAGACTTTTTAAAGTTAATATAATTAAAATTAAAGTAATTCTTTGAAACAAAATTTTCCTAATAAAATTCCATCTTTTCTGGTAATCCTACAGAGAGTTGACCAGCTAACCTATAAATCTGCATGTAAGCTGTGTCTCCTCAGTCTTGTTAAAGCCTTTGTTTTCTTCAGTCTGTGATTTTCTTAGTAAGATAAGCTTTCCTAATTACAGGACTGCATGGTGACTGGTTGGTGTTAAAACAGTAAGATGATTGCCTATGTCCTGCTTTATTGGGGACTGTGTCTATCAAACCTCAGTGAACAAAGACAAGTGTCCACACTCAGAGGTACTCTATCAGCTTCCTCACAAGGCCCTGACTCACTGAGTTACCTGACCCTGGAGAGGATTTGCCCCTGGGCCAAAACTCCAAGACAGACTAAAATGGAGTGATGCAATCACAAGCACTTCCTGATTGCGACTATTCAATTGTGTGTATACAGATCAAATACACACACACACACACACACACACACACACACACACACATTCCCCTCAGAGGTGAACAGGGATGCTATCAGTTTCATGGATTGAATACAAAAATAGAAAAAAAATGCCTGAGTTTATTAAATAAATTTTAATCCCAGCCAAAATTTTAATTTTGGCTATTTTTTAATTGACTTGCTCATGGTATTTTGTCATAGTAGCCTGATTGCACTAGCCTAACCAGAGAAATGAACAGCAACTTAATCTTCCCCTCCAAGAGCAGGCCTAAGAAAAGGATGTTCAGATGGAGATATAAAGATGAATAACTTGTTTGTCAAACAAAATGTAGAGATTTTTAAGAAATATTGAAAATAACTCTACCTATAGTCACTTGTATGTGATATTTCAAACTTCTTAGGATATTTGGCTTGCTTTTTGCAAAAGCTGCTTTACAATTAATAAACTATTGATATTTTGAAATCAATTCTTTGAAAACATCTGGGTTGAATTCATGTGAGATTAAAATGTGAGAGTACTCATTCACAAGAACTAAGAGTTCTAAGAACACTGAAAAATAATCAAAAGTGATTTATGGAAAGTGGGGCAAATAGAAAAGGAAATTCTACAAGTAATGAGTTTTGTGTCACAAAACGATGCATTTCAAAAGGAATTTTTTCAATGCCACTGTAACATCTTTGTTTCTTAAACAGTAAATCATGGGATTAAACATAGGTGTAACAATGGTATAGAAAAGAGAAAGGAATTTGTCTCTTTCTGCTGCATGACTAGACTTTGGTCTCAAATATGTAATTGTGCCTGATCCAAAGAACAAAGCAACAACCATAAGGTGCGAAGAACAGGTGGAGAAGGCTTTGGCCCTCCCAGTGGTTGAGTGCAGCTTCAGGATGGCTGAGATGATTTTCACATAGGATCCAAGGATCAGCATAAAAGGAATTGTGACAACCAGAAGAGCAATGACATAAATCATCATCTCAATCAAAAAAGTGTTTCCACAGAGGAGGGTTAAGACTGGAGGAATGTCACAGAAAAAGTGGTCCAGCCAATTGCGTCCACAGAAGGGGAGAGAGAAGACTGAATAGGTGAAGCCAATATGCACTGGAATCCCACTCACCCAACAGCCACCGGCCAGCTGGATGCATAGCTTCTTGTTCATGAGGAGAGGGTAGAGCAATGGTTTGCAAATGGCCACATACCTGTCGTAAGCCATGACTGTCAACATAAAGCACTCAGTGACCCCTAGGACCAGAAAGACATACATCTGGATAGCACAGGCCAGAAAAGAAATACTTCTATTCTGTCTGTAGAGATCTGCTAACAGTCTGGGGATAGTGACTGACACATAGCATATTTCCAAAAAGGAAAAATTGCCAAGGAAAAAATACATGGGCATCTGAAGAGAAGGGTCAATCTTGGTTATGACAAGAATGAGGCTATTCCCCACTAGAATGACCGCATACATTACCAGAAACAGCCCAAAGAGAAATCCTTGCAGATTGGGAAAATCAGAAAAACCAATTAAGATGAATTCCACCAGGATAGTTTGATTTCTTTGTGAAGTATTTTGGTCTGTTGATCCCATCTATGAAGGAAATGAATTCAAAGATGTGAAATCCTTCAACCCACTAGGGTCAGCTGCAAAATAGGAAACTTTGGTGATATTGGATGCAACAACACAGGATAGAGATCCAGTTTTGTTTGTGTTGTTTTATATTCTACTAATGTCTTTCAAGTGTAATGCCCTAACTCTCCAAATGTTAACAAGAGTGCAATCTTAAAATCCATTCCTCCTGCTCATCATGAAGAATAAAAGTATGTGATACTGGAACACAGCAAAACGGAAACAGAGTAAAACATGACAGGGAATCTTCACTGAGGGTAAGAACTGGCCCACCAGTGTTTGACATTATTTAGTGAGAAATGTGTCTCTATTCTGATTAATATCATCTCTAATGTTTTTTATTTGTATTTCTTTCTCTGAAAAACTTTCGCAGTTACAATTTGTTTTTGTGTCTTTTGCTTTCACTTTTGTTTTTATGTTTTCCTGGTGAACTGTATCTCAGATAATTGAAGAGCAGGCAGTCAGGCAGTAATAATTCACCTCCCTGAATAAGGCCGGCCAGCCTGGGTATTGCAAACCCAGGCTCCTGTGTTCCTGGCAAGAACCTTAGATGCTCTTCAATTGAACTTAATCACTCAATTTTTATTATGATTATGATTTTTAGGCCTTAGAAGTATCATTAGGAAAGTTTAGGGGTATTTGATAGTAATCAGATCATGACAACAAAAATTGTGAAAGAAAATCTTACCATATGGCTCACCCCTGATACCAGCCAATATGTGAAAATTTCCTTTTCGTATCTGTGTTCCAATTATATATGAGTGTCTGAATATGGGGAATGTACCTTTGTAGCATCTATACAGTGTAGAGTACATGCAATATGTGCTCATGTTTTAAATATTTGCTTCTTAATAGCCATTAGATATTACTGTGCTAAGTGCACTGCAGACTGAGCCTAACACTGTTCCTTTAGGAATCAGTTTTCCTAGAAAAATGATTTGTATCTCTTTCACTCTACTGGAACCTATCAGTTTTCCTTTTTTTTTTCAATTTCCACTTCACCTGTTACTTTTCACAGATTACCATAGTCTCCAAAATTCCCTTCTCAGGAAGTTTATATTCTCACACTAATTTCCTAGATTCCAAGTGCGTTTTCTCTCAGTCTCCTTTCTCAGGAAGGAAAAGTGAAACATTGTGTGTGTGTGTTTGTGTGTGTATGTGAATGCATGTGTATATCTTAGTTCAGATAGTTAAGCTAATTAGATAGCTAGTTTCTCTTAGTTCATTGAAAAGACTTCTGCTAATATTTCTGGATATTGTTTCATGCCTACACCTTATATTCTGTGTAACTGTTATGATGATAACAGTGCACTTTGTATGATGAAACTCTTACTTCATTTTTATTCTCTATAAAATAAAAAAATACTTTGTCATTCCTATTTTCAATTTTTTTCCTTTTTATTTCTTTCTCTTTCATTATGTCTTTCTTTTTACTTCCTGATTTATATTTTGGTAATTATTTTTCAGCTTGATATCTTCTCAAAGCTGTTGAAATTGTACATCATCTTCACATTTTTTGTCCTTAAGTCATACCTTTGCCAACTGATCTGAAACAGAAATGTAACTGAATTTTCAATTATCAAGCTATGTTTGATGGAATATTTAAGACAGCAAAGCAGCATCTATGTTTCTAGTTGTCTATGTAATACATAATGTGTTTAGTATAAGGATAATATAAATAAACCACATGGACCCAATTTCATTCTTCATGGAGCTTATGTACTAGCAGTAAAATGAAGCACTCTTTAGGTCTTACTTTAGATGTGCAAAGTCTACACAGAAAAATATATGGTGTCATTGGAGTGTTACATACTGTTCAACGAAGTCACAGATGAACTGAAACCATGTCAGATTAGGGCAAGACAGAATCATTTAGTTATTTTCTCTTTTAGGAAACAATGCTAGAATATTTTTCAAGAGGGGAAAAAGATATATTCCCATCAGTTTTCTATACCAACAAAAAGTCAGATGCTGTCACAGGTAAATATTTCTCAATGAGTAATGGCAGAAATATAATTCCCACACTGATCTCAGCAATTGTTTATAAGTTTTTCTGGATTCAAATACTCATGATCCAAGAACATGACACTGCCTGACTCCCAAGTGGAAGTTATGTAGATTAGCGTAAGACATTCTTAGTAATTAATTTTCTCCTACATCAAGTAAATGACATCTTTTATTCACTTTTAATTTTTTTCTGTGACTGTGATTGTCATAGCCATGGAAGAGAACAGAACCATCTCTCAGTATCTGAGTTGTATTCCTTCTGATGTCAACTTTTTAGCATTTATTATGTGCTAAGCACCATGATTTCAACTCTCATTTTGTAACCTCATTTAACACATCAGGCATAAAGCAGGCACTGTCAGTGTGTTCACTTTTCTGCGGACTGGGCAACACCATGAGGTTGTGTGTCTCATCCAGTGTGTAGAACTGCTTGAGAAGTAGCTGAATACAAACTCAGCAGTGTAATGGAAGAATGTATGTTTTTATAAAAAAATCTCAGTAAGATTTTACAGAAAATTCGGTAGAAAATATCATTTGAGATTTAATATGCTCAATAATATCAATAAACTTTAATAATAAACCATTCACAAAAGGAAAATAATTTCATGTTTATTGTAGATTGACATTACTGTTATAAAAATCGGAGGTTATTTCATATGTAGGTTCAGTCTATAGAGTTTGAATTCATGAGATTCACCTCATCGTTGAATGTGATTGTAAGAAAGTATTTTCTTTTAAACCTCTTCATCCATAAACTTAAAAAAATAAAGTACAATAAACACTACTTACCTTTTATGTGTCATTTTAAAACTGTCATTTGTTCCCACTTTTTCAAAGATAAGTTCTTGTGTAAATTTTTACATTATTGAAGTAATAAATCTTGCTATTGTTCTTTTATCTTAAAATATTTTTTCCTTTTAATCAACTACCATGCATTTTAGTTCTGGACTCTTACATGTCAGGGGGCCACCTCCTTTTCATGGATGTGCTGCATTTTTAAGCGCAGCAATCTGTTCATCAGTTGGAAATTAGAAAGCAATCAAGGTTCCAGTAATTGCATCAGTGTCTCCCCATCATTTCTGTCCCTGTGGACTAGGTCTGAGAACTCCAACTTCCTGGTCACTCCTCTGCCCTGCTCTCCCCATTCTCAGGTCTTTGGTGAACAACAGCACTATTCCCTGATAGGGAGCTGCTGTCTCAGGCAATCACGCACTGAATTTTGCCTCTGCCCATGGATGGAATCTGAAGCTACTCAATTTTACATAATTAAAGCAATAGTTAAAACATTTATTTATCATTCACACATAAAAGCCATGTATACTTTGTGTAAAAATGATACTTTGAAGTATGTACACATTATGAAATGTCTAAATTGAGATAACATATTCATTACCTCACATACCTCTCTCTCTCTCTCTCTCTCTCTCTCTCTCTCTCTCTCTCTCTCTCTCTCTGTATCTATCTATCTATATCTCTATCTATCTCTCTCAGTGATCTCAACTGAATGTAAGTATTCCTTACTGAGTTATGCTCTTGGCTTCCTGGCACCTTTTGCATTTGATCTGGAGTTAAGGTCTTACTAATTTTTATAGGCTGAGTTCAAACTTTCTATCCTTTTACCTCAGTCTCCTGAGTTATTGGGATTATGTGTGAATCTATCATTATGTATGCTAAGGACATTTAAAATGTATTCTTTCTGCAAATCTCAAGAAGTCAATACCTAAGGTTACATCTGTCATGCCATAGCTCTCTTGAATTTGTTCCTCTATTTGTATTCATTTTCAGACACCTCCAAACGCGGGACTCTTTCAGGCCCTGGTCACCACCATTGTGAAACATCTATCCTCAGCCTCAAAGAACACAATTCGTATGCAATCTAGGTTGTTTTAGTATTAATGCTGTCTTTTCATTTGCAGCTACATTCATAAAAATTAAAAGTGAATTTTAAAGAGACCATATGAAACAGCCAAGATCCATTTTTCACAAGTGTGGGTGGGAAATGACTCCATGATACACTTAAAATAACAAAAATGAGAAGGCACAGTGAAATTTTGTTGATGCAATGATGGGTTTTTGAAAATGTTATAGGAAATGCTTTTAATTTTCTTCTCTTCCTTTCCCATTCAGTATGAATACAGTTCTCCGAGATGTTATGCAGCATAGTTCAGAAGCTGTAGCAAGGCTTGTACCTGTGGGCTGGTCACAATTTCTGACTGCACAGTCCCTGCTCAGCCTGATCCTGGGCAAGGGCACTGTCCTATGAATGTGACCTATTGGTATCCCTATAGCCCAAATCCATTAAATGCAAGATCCCATCTCTCTCCAGCATAACTTCCACTTGACCCTTAACATCCTCTTTTAATTTTATGTCATCACTTACTATTTTCTACTTATCAGGGACTTCTTGAGTCCTGGTCCATTGCTTTAGAAACTACACACATTGATTTCCAGGTACTGGGTCATGCACATAGAACTCTCTGAGTTTCATCAGCAAGTTATTCGTTATATATATATTTTTTTCCTTTTAGTGATAAAAGGTCAGCGCAAGGCCATGGAAATATTTTCAACAAGGGGAAAAGCAGAAAGACCAGTTAAAGTGTGATTGAAGTCAACTGTGTTGGAGGAGATAGGAGAGAAAATCAGAGTTAAGCAGAGCACAAGTTGGGAAAGTGGTCAGATATTTACATAGAGATTTGTGTCAACATTTTCTTCTGTTTGATACTAAACTTTGCACACATGAACTCAATCACTTAGACAAAAGGTATATTTATCACTGTATCTCACTTTTAACAATTTACCTAGTTTATTAACAAATCATGCAATCTGTTTTCTAAATATTAATTTTATTAACTTTTTGTGGAAGTTTGATGACTGACTTCTTTATAATATTTCTTTTAAAACTGAAATTCTTTATAAGAATCATTCGCCATTTTCATCACAGTCTCTTGTTTGTC